CCCCCCCCCCCCCCCCCCTTGAAACAACACTACCTTTCCTTCTGTTGGGAAAATGGGACAATATCCTACTAAAAATTGAAGGCCGGGCCCGACGAGGGCCGAATTGATAATTCTAATTGGCAGTCGTCGTTTCGTTTCGGCCTCCTAAAGATTCTGGGGCCCGATGGTGGCCCACATGGGAAAGGTAGTGGTGGTGTCTCCAAAAAGTTCTATTTATCTGATTCAATCAGGAATCAAACTCATATTGTGTTTATCAAATTAGTAACAGCTGCATGTGCGTCTGTTCTCAGCCTACCCGTTGAATAAGAATTCAAACTCGTGGTTTGTTTTCACGGATCATTAACAGTTGCGTGTCAGTCTGACCTCAGCCTATCCATCGGTTCTCCAAATTGTTTTCAGCTGCATGTTGAAAGCAATGCACAGCCATTTTTGTCCTGGGTTAGTGGCATCTAATGGCCTTTAGGTAAGCCAACATCATCACTGTTGCAATGAACCCAAACTGCAGACACCTGTCAAACGCCTTGCAACAATGAAACTACCACTGAAGACTCAGACAAAACATCACTGAAGCAAATCAGTGGCACGAAGATAACACCGTCTGTCAACACTTTATTGTCCCTAATCCTTCCAAAAGTAAATCCAGTCCTCACGTAACGGGCCCCACGGGCCCAGTGGAAACCAAAAGTGGAGGGAGCGCCAGGCTGAGAGGTCGATTTTTATGGTGCTCGACATTCTGGAAGCATCGGAGTGCAAGAGGCCATGGCTGACTGGAAAGAACTTCGTTCGGGACGGCCCACGGGCCTCGCTCCAAACGGGACTGAATCCTCCGCTACAACATGGAAAGATACATCGCCATACAGACCATGCACACTTGTCTTTTTTGTTTCTGTGGGTACAGGACTTCTTCAAGTTTTTCGAAGGTGTTACTGGAGTAGGCCAGGTGTGTGAAACTGAATCGTCTGCTAGAACCTAAAAAGATACAATGCCACACAGGCCCTGAAGTTTTGCGACTTTGTCGAATGGTTTAGTAACGCCGTCTGACTTCCTGAATGGTCCGTTCTTGTAGCTCCGACGTGGCGACCCCATGATGTTATTGTGGCGCCGACATGGCGCCCTGTGAACAGAACCCGTGGCGTCATTCTCGTGACATGGTGGAACTATACATATGTACGTGATAAGAACCCGTGGCGTCATGTGAATGTACACAGAGAGAGAGAGAGAGAGAGAGAGAGAGAGAGAGAGAGAGAGAGAGAGAGAGAGNCTCACGTGCACATGCATGCGCATGCGCCTTCGGCCAGCGGGAGTTAAGGGAGACCGGGGGGGGGGGGGAAACAACTTTCGAGTTTCAACGGACGCACGTGCAGCTGCATAACTACAACCAAGGCGCACGCTTGCCCCACGAACAATACGGCAACACCTTCAGAGAAAGTGGTGCCTCTGAATCTTGGGGCAGGAACACATGTGACTCGTGACGGCTGGGGGTTGTAGGGAGAAGAGGAAGTTTCAGTGCAGCTTTGTTGATTAACCCCGACGGTACACTTCAACAAAGCTTCATTGAAACTTCCTCTTCTCCCTACGACCCCCAGCCTCCAGGAGTCACCGGTGTTCCTGCCCCAAGATTCAGAGGCACCACTTTCTATGTTGGTGTTGTCGTATTGTCCGTGGGGCTGCTGTGTTTGGATGATGCAGCAAAAGACGATGGCAGTTTGGAATGGGATGGAGAAGGTGAAGGTGGAGAGTAGGCGCATGGATCTTGTTGACAGCGTCAGAGAGGGAGGACAGGTGACCTTCAATGACAGATATCCTGTCTTCCACAGTGGTCATTTTGTCCACCCAGGAAGTATAAGCATCTTGCATGCCAATCGCCTCCTTGCTAATTGGATCAGGTTGGAAGTGACTGGCATGCGAGATGCCTACGCTTCCCTGGTGGACAGAATGACCACTGTGGAAGACAGGATATTTGTCATTGAAGGTCAGCTATCCTCCCTCTCTGACGTTGTCAACAAGATCCCTGTGCCTACTCCTCCACCTTCACCTTCTCCATTCCATTCCAAACTGTCATCAGCTTCTGCTGCATCATTCAAACACAGCAGCCCCAAGGACTAAACGGCAACACCTTCAGAGAAGGTGGTGCCTTTGAATCTTGGGGCAGGAACACATGTGACTCCTGGTCAGGGTGTTGTTGAGCCTAGGTACCCTGAGATGATCCAGCCTGACAAATTCACTGGAGATGATTCCAAAGTGTATTTGACAAACTGGACTGCATCTATGAGATCATATATCAAGGGGTTTACCTGCCTAGAAGTCAACAAAGTGCAGTCTACAGTGGCACTGCTTGGGGGCTCAGCTGTCAAGTGGGCTACTTCTGAGGCCAGCAATACCCAAAAGAAACAGCTGGATGATTGGGGAGTTGCAGTAGGATTGGATGGCATTTTTCAAGGCCTTGAGATACGTTTGCTAACAAGGAGAAGGCCCGAAAGGCTGCAGATGAGTTGTTCAAAATTGGCCAAGGCAGATGGCAGGGAATCCTGACCAAACTCTACACAACATTCGAGCGCCTTTCCTCCACATCTGGTCTGGAGATGTCTGGGGCTGACAAAATAACTTGGTTTGTCAGGGAAGCTTCAGAGAAGTATTCCACAGCCTTGTACACTCCAGGCCACAAAGATTGGAGGCCTTTGGCAAAGCAGCACTGGATATGGAGGCTACTCTTCAGATCCAGTGCACTTCCCAGAAGGGAAGCAACTCCTCTTCCCAAAGTAGGAGGAAGGGAAAGGGAGGCATGTATGGTATGGAATCTGATGGTGATTCTGCAGGCCCAGGCCAGGGTGGGTCTACTCCTCTAGCTGGCCAAGATGCAGAATTCTCACCAGAGAAGGTTGCTCTTGCAGGTACCCTGGCATTGATGGCCTTCTTGGAAGGGGGCACTCAATTCCAAGGTCAAAGGAACTCCAGTCAGTCTCAAGAAGGGGTCAGACAAACGCTTTAGTGGTCCACAGAAGCCTACTGCTACCTTACCCAAGTTTGCCAGATGCCCAGCTAACACTATGGATCCTGCCTCTTTTCCCTAGAGAGATCCTGCCTCTTTCCCCTAGAGAGATCTGAGAATCCAGGAAACAGTCTGGCAGAAGAGGAAGGATCAGGATGTTTGCCTCAGAGTTGAGGGCAGTCGCTATGTGAAAGAGTGCCCAAATTGGGGCAACAGTACAAAAAAAGTAGACAGGCCAGCAGAGGTTGCAGCCACCCCTGCTAAACTGAATTCATCTCCTTCTGCAGATGATTCAGCCTGTGTGCCAGACCCCATTGAGGCTGCAGCAGACTCAGCGTACTCATACATTGAGCCCTTTGCAGCTGAGCCCCTGTCTCAGGGTGAGTTTGATCAGCTTTTTTCCCTCTTCCTTCAGCTGAAAGACAAAAGGAAGGTGAAATCAGAACTGGTCTTACTCAAACCACTCATCAACAGGACCCGACTGAAAGCCCTGTTGGACTGTGGAGCCACCAGGAACTTCATTTCGCCACATGCAGTTCAGAAACTCCATCTGGGTCTCAAAGTCACAGACTTAGAGCACCCATTGGAGATTCAGATTGGTAACTCTGAGTCAGTCACAGTCAAACAGGTGATCAAAGGTGTTCCTGTCACTTTTGATGCTAAGCGGGAGGTCAGACAGAGTCTTAACTTCTATGTGTATGGGAACATTTGAATGCGGGTTTGATTTTTGAATCAATCGAAATTATAACATAGAAATGCCAGATCTGAAGGACAACATTGCTAGAAGTTGATAGAGATGTATGGGGCTCAATTGACTGCGTCATTAGGATAGCACCCTGAAATCAATGCTGAAATTGAGCAAATGAACAGATTATGCCAACAGCCTCTATGAATGTATGTAGGACCAGATCAAATTGATTGGGATGAGAATGTACCCAAAATTGCAAGTGCAAGCAACAATTTAGTCCATGCTATGACCAGATCAACGCATAATGCATTCCACAAAGTGTGGTGACCAAAAGACCTATAGATTCTCTAACAAGGGATCAGATTCAAAGGTAGGTCAAAGAGAATAGAATGTCCCAAATTATTGAGCAAGTTAATAAGCACAGAAGAGACCCTGGGTAAAGTCCAATGCATTCTCTCTCACACGCAAACTGTGACGTGTCTACTTTGGGGCATGGGAAGTTCTCAAAGTAATGGGGGATCAGGATGCCGTCCTGTGTAGTTGATGTACCTTAACATCTCAATACTTATCCAGTCTTCCATGCATCTAAACTTCTACGCTACAATGAAGGTGACGACTTTCCCAATCGTCGTTCCATAATGCGACCATCAATGGATGGAGGGTATGAAATTAAAAGAATCCTTGAACATGCATTTTTTCTCTACCGGTGGCAGAGGAAGACCGCAGAAACAGTAGAAGGTAAAGTTTGAATCACAATCCGAATCTGAATCTGAATCTGAATCTGAATCTGAATCTGAATCGGAAACAGTATAAAGGCCGTGTCTTATTTGCAGCAGGGGGCCGTCACAGTCTCATACTTGATTCCGGTTCTTGTTTCTTCATCTAATGACATGGTGGGTTCGACAAAATATTGGAATGGAAAATGATTCATTAAAACAAACAATATAGTACGCTCATAAAAAGAGCAGACAAAAAACGAGAAAAAAGGGTCAACCACAACGGTCCTCATACATCAGCTACGTTTGATCCATCGGTATGCTGTGCTACTCTGTGCCTCTCCTTCAACCAAAGTTGTACAGCAGTTTCCACTAGTCAATTTGTGGTGGTTCAGTGAAAGGACGCCTGAACATACTGCATTGCTTTGTTAGGAGGGCCATGTGCAGGCATGGAATTCCAAGGACGTGGTGTTATGATGGTCTGATTATGAATAAGACCAGCTGCGGGTGGACCTCAGCCATGGGTCATGGATTCTCAGTGTCTTTGGGATGGGTGGCACTCTATGTTGTGGGTTCCTGCAGGCTGTGAGATGATCTGGAAGGTATTCAACCTGTTCTGGGTGCTTTTGGGGGTGAGCCAGGTGGAAACAAACGATCTCAACGGCCTTGTCTTTGCAGTGGTGGACGTCCTCTATGGATATGCAGAATACCTTTGTTGTTGTGGATCAGCTAACGATGAAGCACATGCTGATCTGGGGCCTGTTGTAAGCATGATGCGGCAATTGTTATTCGCCCGAAATGAGGCAGTGCGAGCAGCAAGCAGGTGAGTCATCCTGCTTTACTATGGTACTTCCCTGTCGTGATTTACAGTCTCATGAGAGGATGTTCTTTCTGTTTGCTGAAAACCGCTAATGATCAGTGGAGGTCAGATCATTCCAGACGTCGAAGCAGTATTCAGATGTCGACCTTAATGCTGGGAAGTGTCAGTGTTCTCTTATTAAGAGTTACCGGATGGAGGGTCACATCTGGTCCTGTCTCTTATACACATCTAGATGTGTATAAGAGAAGAGAGAGAGAGAGAGAGAGAAAGAGGTTTTTTTTTTTGTGTGTGTGTGTTCTCTGCAGCACAACCGTCCTCGTAGAGCAAGGGGAGTTCACACAACATTTAGAGAGATTGCGAAAGCCCCCCGGTAAAGGAGCAAAAAATAGTTGCAACATTACTGAGTCGACTGAGTACAAGGCCAACTGTGACAAGAGCTGGAGTCCTTTGGGCAGTATGCGATACTGCAAGGCATCCATCCGCTTGCGGACAAGATTCTGGCCATTCGAGATTGGCCCGACCTCGCCAAACCCTTGGAGGTTCATTCTTTCATAGGATGGGCCGCCCACTACCAATACATCATTGAGGGCTATGCACGGATCAGTGCACCTTTGATTCCACTTCATTCTCGAAAGGTGCCATTTGAGTTCAACGATGACGCATGAGCTTCATTTTGGACTCTCAAACAATGACGCCCATGGCGAGGTTGACTATTGACCCCTCCTTGCTCTGCATGCTCTCAATTAAGGCGAGTGTACAGTTTCGGTGCAGTATGATAGGGACAGTTGGCTTCTAGTCGAGTACTTCAGCCAAAAGGTCCCATCAATTCTATTGTTACGATCCTGGTCATTCCCAAAGTGCAAATTCACAATGAAAGACAATGCCACCCAATTGCGAAAGAAATGAAAGTACTTGCAAAGAGATAGAGACCAGAGGAGAGAGAAAGAAGAAGAAGAAGAAGAAGAAGAAGAAGAAGAAGATGTACACCAGCAAGACCAATGACAATTCCCCCTTCTCTATCCACGTTCCTTCTCCTCCTCCACTTCGCCAATGTTATTCTTCTCCCAATAATAATAATGACAATGAGTGGATGAACCAGAATCAATATCCGAAGTTCCCTCTTACTGCTGACTCAACAACAACAACAAGTCCACCATAGCTATGACTTCCCTCCTTCTGCCTCCTCACACATGCATAGGCTATGGCGGACTACTGAGGGCCCTGCCCTCCTGTCCAAAGGACAACCCAAAGCAGCTATGGCGCTGCACTCCTGTCCAAAGGACAACCCAAAGCAGCTATGGCGCTGCACTCCTGTCCAAAGGACAACCCAAAGCAGCTATGCTGCTGCTACTGACTGCTCCGCCATGCCAGGCTCTGCCTCGAGCTTCCTTGGTGCAGCACTACCCCAACTGGGGCCTTCCAGATGGAGCGCCCAACAAGGTGATGAAGACGGTGTCTACCATAGCCAGGTAGGTGCCTCGCCACTCTCCTCCTTCGCCCCCTTCTCCCTCCTCCTCAGGCTGGGCTGCTCGCCATAGCCAGGCTGAGCGCCAGCTGCCCTTCACCTCCAAGCAGCGCTGTATCAGCCCAGCGCTGTGCTTCAGCAGCATGTCGCCAATCCTTGCATACCGCAAATGAGGAGGAGCTACTTGCGCCTCCAGAAGATATAGAGGCCTACTGGCCTCTTGGGTGGTGACTTCCTAGGCCGAGCGGCCTCCCAGCAACCGGTACCTCCCCCCTTTCGGAGGGAAACATCATTGCAAGCTCTGCTAGCCTCCGGACAGGCCCTCGACCCGGGCTACTTGGACTGGTACCGGCCTACCTCTAGCCTACCGCTACTGGGCCTCTAAAAATGCCAACTTTTTGTCTTCTTCTGCTCGGCCTCCAGTACCCGACGCTTCTACCACTACTTCAGTGGCACCGGCCTACCTGCTACTCGAGTTTTTTCCCCCTCTGCTCTAAGTGTCGTGGGCCTACCCCCGCTACTCGAGTGTTTTCCCCCTTGCAACCCTCAAAGCCACGGCCACAGGTAAGTACCGGCCCTGCGGGGCCTTTCAACCAACAAGTATCCTTGCGGGTCACACACACACTCAACTGACAAGCACTCAGACAGGCATGCAAACCAGCAGGTACGCACACACACACAGACATGGAAATCACAGCAGAATGTGGGAATCTCAGCAAGGCATTCATTCCAGCGGCAAATTCCATAAATCACCAGTGTTCTCAGTCTGTGTTTTTTTGGCGGGTCATTACACTACCCCCCTCTCAAGAGCGAGGTCCCTTCGAGCGAGTAACTCATTCAGAGTCGGCACAAAATGCATCGTAGGCGTAGATCAGAAAGAGGGATTTAGTAAGACCGTGAGGAGTGAGTTTTGCAGAAAACTTAGCAGTCTGTCCGTCAGTGATCTGTCGTTCATAGGCGTTAACCACTCGTGGAGCATTCTTTAGCAGCTCTTTCCGGTCGATCCATAAAAACTCGTTCAACGAGTGATAGAGGAAGTGAGCCTTGTACTGACTGTTCCTCCCTCTTCCTTCATGGGCAACGATTCTGTCTATCTCATGGCCGGCGTCGATAGGACGAGGTATCATAGGATCTCGGAAGGGAAAAGTCTCATCATCGATGTGTGGAAACAGTTCGGACGCGTGAAAGACCGGATATGTGCGCATATGAGGAGGCACGTCAATCACATACGAAGGTTCAAATTCATCCCCAATCACCTTAAGAACCTGACAAGGGCCATAGTACAATGGAAGGAGTTTCCGTGATACACCCTCTTCATCAGAAAACTCAAACATTTTGACCCAGACATAACTCCCTACTTTGAAGTTCGCTTCTTTGTGCGACTTGTTAGCATGTTTGATCATGGCATGCTGACGCTTGTTCATTGCTGCGATAGCAGCTTTGAGCAGGCGTGCGTTCTTGGCATTATAGCCAGACATGCCGGGCGTCAGACCAGGGGACCGTTCGGGGAACAAATAGGAGAGAGGATTGCACAGCTGCCAACCATATTGCAGTTGATTCGGTGTTACGCCAGTTGCAGAGTGAATGGAGTTGTTGTACAACCCTTTCACTTTGTGTAACTCCTTGTCCCACGTGTTCTGATCTGGAACAATTAGCGCGCGAAGCAGTTAAATGACCGTCTGTTTGATTTCCCCGGCCAATCCATTGGCTTCGGGGTGTCGACCAGAAGTCTTGTTGAGTTTACTGTCGTAGATCTGTGAGGTGAAGTCCTTCCAATCAGCACTAATGAACCTGGTGTCTCGATCACTCACAAGAGTTTTCGGGGGTCCATACTGCAGAATGTACTGCTGGTGAAATTCTTCGATCACAAGCTCAGTTGGTGCATGAGGAGGTAGAGGAATCAAGTTCAGAAATTTGCAAAAGCGATCCACAAAGTCCATGACTTGTGAATGTCCTCCCTCACTCACCTTCCCCATGTTCGTGAAATCGATAGAGACCGACTCACCGGGCCCATCAGGAATTAGGAGGGGTTTCAACAGGCCATAAGGCTTTGACAGACTTGACACTCAGCAATAAATTTCTGAGCAGATTCCTTCATGCCCTGCCAATCAAACTGCTGCAAAAGACTTCCATAAGTCTTCTCAAAGCCGAAGTGTCCTCTCCGACCATGTGCCAAATCCAAGAAATGAGTCCGGAGAGGCGCATGGTTGGGTACACCCAAACGATCAAACTTCCCATACCAGCGGAATACAAGACCCTCACACTCGTGAAAATCAGGCAGATTACTAGGGTCAGCCTTGAGCTGCTCAAGGATGGGACTAAGGTTCGGATCCTTGGCAGTGTGTTCGACCAGATCCTCCTTCAGTTTCCTTCGGAGGTCATATGAGTCCACAAGGCAAGTCAAAAACTCAGGATGGCGCGACAAAGCATCAGCAACACGGTTATAACAACCTTTCTTGTGTTTCAGTTCAAAGTTGTAAACATCAATGTCATGTAGCCAGCGGGTCAGCGTCGGAGAGAGATCAGTTTGTGTCTTAATCCACTGCAAGGTCTGATGATGTGAGTAGACCTTGAAGTGGCGACCCAAGAGGTAGTGCTTCCAATGTGTGAGCGCCTCGCGCAAGGCGTAGAGCTCACGCATATACGTGGAGGTAGCTACCTTGTGGCTGGGCATCCGGTGCCCAAGATAGATGACGCTGTCCCTTCCAAACTCAGATTTCTCCAAGTTGAGGTGCAGTTGTGCCTACTTGAGGACCAGCAAAACCTCCTCAAGGTGCTTGACGTGCTCTTCCATGGAATTGCTGAGAATCAGGATGTCATCGAGGTGAACAACAACAAACCTGTTGAGCTGATGGCGGAGAACCTTGTCCATGAGGCATTGAAATGTGGCTGGTGCATTCGTAAGACCGAAGGGCATAACGATGAATTCGTACAGCCCATCGCGTGTCTTGAATGCAGTTTTATGCTGGTCGCTTGGATCAACTTCAATCTGGTGGTAGCCAGATTTGAGGTCGATCTTGGAGAAGACCTTGCACCCACCTGCAACATCTAGCAGATCATCTATGCGAGGCAAAGGATAAGCATTCTTTCTGGTGATCCGATTGAGGCCACGATAGTCGATACACATCCGGAGTTTGCCTCCTTTCTTCGGCACAAACAAGACAGGTGCACCGAACTCAGACTCACTAGGCCTAATCCATCCACGATCGATCATATCATCAATTTGTCTCCTCAACTCCTCCAACTCGCCTTGTCCCATACGGTAGACGCAACCCTTTGGAGGAACACTCCCTTCTATTATCTCGATTTTGTGTTTGACTGGACGCTCAGGAACTCCACGAGGTTCAGCCAAGACTTCAGGAAATCGATCTAATAGACGGCGAATGTTTGTTGGGACTTTCGGTGGAGGATCATCCTCGCCAGGAGAGAGAAAATCAGATCGAGAATTTACAGCAATTATAACCGGATTTGAAGTACTTGGATCAGAAGTAGACTGATTTTTTACAGTAGAAGTAGATGGAACAGAAGTAGATTGATT